GAGGAGGAGGAGGAGGAGGAGGAGGAGGAGGAGGAAGAGGAAGATAGAATAGATTTATTTATTTATTTACTTTTAAGATAATAAGGGCAAGGAGCTGAAGGAACAGAGCATCAGTGTATCATGTACAGAAGTTCATTTCAATTCATGACACAAATTTTCTTCCTGAGTCCAACCAGGAAACCTATCCCTGTTAGTTTGTACAACATGCTAGATTCAGCCCCAGCTTCCTGGTCATTTTTCTCTTCCCCAAATTGTGTGGCTTTCAGTAATTTAAAGGCTTCAACCGATGCCATTAGCAAACTTTGTCTAAGAGGCACAGAAAATTGCAAATACTAATCTTTAACCTTACAGTTCATCGCTCAAAGCAGAGAACTGGGATTAAATCCTTCAATTTTTTCCAGAGGGCAAAAGTTCACAAGTTGCTTTAGAAAGACCAAGACTCCATAAACCTTTCATTAAGATTTTTTTTTCAAATAACATACTTCTGTTCATAGCAGGGTTTAATTACAGAAACTGGGGAAACAACCTTTAATTATGAGGAGAAGAAAAAAAATCCATTTTATCTGTTAATAAAAAATGAGTTGGCATATCTATAATGCCCTTTGCATAATGGGTGATAAGAATGATATCTTGTTAATAACTGTAATAAGAGAGGAAAAATGAGGTAGTTTAGGGTTTTCTATGTTCTTTGGCTTAGGGAAGAAAATTGCTCTAATAATTTAGGAATTTCAATGACACATAATTATAATCTATTGGCCCTAAGCATTTGAACACTTTGGTAAAGTTTGTTTTATGATATTATATCAAAGTGGTAGAGAACACTTGACAGTAAACAAGAATGTATGTCTGATAAATCCTTTTCAGTCGAACAGGAGAAATTCACGTCATGGTTGTAATGCAAATGTCTCCAAAAAAACCTACCGTATTTTTTTGGAGTGTAAGATGCACCAGAGTATAAGATGCACCAAGATTTTGAAGAGGTAAATTAAAAAAAAAAGGTTTTGCACTCTGGAGACCTCCCAAAAATGGTCCATTTTTCACAAAAATGGGCCTGTTGTTTGTCAAAAAAAGGGCATGCATAGCCTTTAGGAGGCTTATAGAGTGCTCCTCGGGGCTGGGGGGGGGGTCAATGTCCCTCTTTACCAATCTGAAAATCTGGTCACCTTACTCTAAATCTCTCTCTGAAGAATAACAGAGTTGGAAGGGACTTGGAGGTGTTCTAGTCCAACCCCTTGCTCAGGCAGGAAACCCTACACCAAGTGTCAGGAAGGACTTGGGTTAATTATCTGAAGGCTGTTCCAATTGCTTTGTTGAGAAAAATAAAACTTCTATTTTGCTTTATTTCACCGGATTGCTTTGGAGTTGCCAACTACTCTGTTTTATGTGGTGGTTCCAGATGTTTTTGATAGTAGACTTTAAGAAAAATCCTCCCATACTACCACATCTTACAATACTAGACAACACAATATCAACAGAAGAGACCTTCAAATTTCTAGGTTCCATCATATCTCAAGGCTTAAAATGTACACCTAACATCAAAAACATCATCAAAAAAGCACAACAAAGAATGTTCTTTCTGCACCAACTCAGGAAGCTCAAACTGTCCAGGGAGCTGCTGATTCAGTTCTACAGAGGAATTATTGAATCTGTCATCTGCACCTCCATAACTGTCTGGTTTGGCTCTGCAACCCAACAAGACAGACATAGACTTCTGAGGATAATTAGAACTGGAGAAAAAATAATTACTACCAACCTGCTTTCCACTGAGGACCTCTATACTGCACGAGTCAAAAAGAAAGCTGTGACAATATATACAGACCCTTCACATCCTGGACATAAACAGTTTCAACTCCTACACTCAAAACGACTCTGGGATATTAGAACAATAGACACAATAACAGTTTTTCCCCGAACGCCATCACTCTGCTAAACAAATAATTCCCTCAACACTGTCAAGCTTTTTACTAAGTCTGCATTACTATTANGGGGGGGAGCATTATCTAGATACATCAAGAACATATATGCAAGAGCATCACAGAGTAGGCATGGTGGTGGCATGCAGACACCAAAATCATCAAAATTTGCAACCTGCAATAATACCTTTGGTTGAATTGCTCCAACGGTTACCTTCAGAATAATGGGATAAAGTCAGGAGATTGACACATGAACCACCGGCGCCAGATCCAAAAACAGTTATTCTCAGCGGGTCGCCCCCAAAGAACCCAATATTTTCACTAGTCCATCTCAAGGCCTGAATGAGATCAAGAAGGCCATAATTCCCTTTAGCTGCTTGATCCCCAGTGCTCAAGAAACCTGTCAAAAGAGAAGAAAGAAAGAAGGGGAGGGGACCATTAGAGCAAAGAAAAATTACTGCATATTTCAGATTATGGCTGTGCTGTTTTCATCAGGCCAACCGCTTTCAAATGTATCAGGAGTTAAGCACTATGTAAATACATTTTGTTCTTTATCCACTTTGCAACCATTTACAAGTGACTCATCATTCCCACTACAAATCCTTGGGTATTTATTGTAATAACGCTATGCATTATAAATGACTGCAGGCACTTTTGAAGAAGACAGGCTGATTTCAGCACGGAATGGCACGCTAACTGACACTTCCCTCGCAATTTGTTTTACAGCTCAGGGAGGCCGTAAGTTGAAGCTCATTAGGTATCATTTACATTTCCCATTGAGAGGACACTGGGAAGACCTGTCTGGCTGAGGTTGTTTTATTTATTTACTAGCTGATAACCCGGCGTTATCCAGGTATTTATTTATAGTGGGGCCAATGTCCAGACTAAATGTGATTTCTAATGTTGGATTTCCTCCCCTTACCAGAGGGAACCCCCTTGTGGAGTACTGTGAAGCCATTAACATGGCAACTCCACTGTGCTGTGCAGTAGAAGCCATTTTACTGCAGTACAGTAGAAGTCATTTGAAGGCACAACAGGCTGTATTGTAACAGAATACACACCCCAAGGGGTGTTAGGGATGTCTTACCTCTCCACAGTATTTGTTTCCAGAGAGTAAGTCATCTATGTACCAAGTATGGTTGGGGATTGTTTGAAATGTTCCAGAGTTATGCTGGAACATACATAAATATATATACATATAAATATATAAATAAATATATAGAAGAAGAAGAAGAAGAAGAAGAAGAAGAAGAAGAAGAAGAAGAAGAAGAAGAAGAAGA